TGTCGTGGGGTCCCCACGTGGGGATGGGGTGCAGGGGCTCAGGATGACCCCCACCCACCACAGCCAAAGTTGAGGGGCTCCAGCCCAGCCCAGACTCACCCCCATCTTCTCCAGGGACTTCGCCAGCACGTCGCAGCCCTTTTTCTGGTTGACGAAGATGATGATGGGCGGGTCGAAGCCCTGCTCCAGGATGGCCAACAGCTTCTTCCTGTTGGGGAGGAGGACAGTTGGGCAAGGAGAGGCTGAGGTGCCTCACAGCAGCCCCTCGGCTCTCCAGGGTCCCCCTCCCAGAGCTCCCTCACCCTCAAATGCCCCAGACCACCCCCAAGGCCCGTCCTCCCCACTCCAGCAGCCCCCTCCACACCTCTTCTCCGACTCTGACATGAGGAAGACCTTCTGCTCCACCCGCTCGTGGGGTTTGCCGGCAGAGCCGATGTAGACCACGGCCGGACGACGGAGGTAGCTGCGGGCCAGGCGCTCCACTGCTGGCGGCATGGTGGCCGTGAACATGACAGTCTGTGAGAGAACAGGGCGGTGAACAACGTCCCCTGTGGGGCAGGAAAGTGGCTGCTGCTCCCTTGGCCCATCCTCCAAAGCCCCACGCTGTCCCCTCTCCACCCCATGGACCATGCTCAGCCCCACGGAGGCACCCACAACACATCCCAGGCCTCCTGCCTGCACCCACCTGTCTGTACTTGTGCTTCCCTGACTCAAAGTTGGCCAACATCTTCTCGGGGTCCTCGGCCTCATCAGTGTCGGGTTTTTGGTTGGTGACAGGCATGTGCTCCAGGATCTTCTGCACGTCGGGCTCGAAGCCCATGTCGATCATGCGATCCGCCTCGTCCAGCACCACGTAGGTGCAGCGGCTCAACACCAGGTACCGGTTCTCCAGCACGTCGATGAGACGCCCTGGTGTGGCGATGACAATCTGGGGGGCCAAGAAGGTTGGGGTCCGCAGCCTGGGGCTAAACTGCTCCCCCTCAAGTCCCCCCCACCGCCCTCCCCAGTGCCTAACGCTCACCTCGCAGCCCATGCGAAGGCGGAAGCCTTGGTCCTCGCGGGAGATGCCTCCGATCACGGCCACCGTGCGGATGCCCAGAGGCTTCCCAAACTTGATGGTTTCCTCCTCAATCTGCTGAGCCCGCTCTCGGGGGGGGGG